TTTTTTCATTCTATTTTATTTCTCTCCATTCATTCATTCATTGCTTTATTCCGTGGCGTGAAATAAGATTCATAAACAATTTGTTAATATGCGGAATGTGTTTTAGTTTTGACAAGCGCATCAAATTGTCAAATTTACTTTTGTTTTTTTTTAGTTATTTTTTTGGGCGGGTAGTTTCTTTTTTTGTTGAATTTCCAATAAAATGTATACTCGTATATCAAAATTGCCTGAGGTATAAAGCATGCTTATGGAAAAAAAATAAAGCTCGCCTGCAATAAAGAAAATGCTCAGCAGCATGCACCAAAAAAGGTTTAAGCTCAAATTTCAACACTTTCGGATTTTTATTTTTTGTAGAAAAAAATCGGCAGACGTTTAGTCTTCCGTCCAGTTATTTTTTTAATGTGACTCAAATACCCAAATAATATTAAATTCAAAATAATTTGTTGCCCTTGTGTGCTTTAAAGTTACTGATTTCGAAAAATTTTATTTTCTTAACTACCAAACCCAATTATTGGTCCTTCGACTACAAATTTGATATTGAAAACTAACTTCTTCACTTCTTTTCTTTATCGTATTATGAAAAATAAAACATATTTCTAAATACAAATACACGTGTTGAGCTCTTTGGATATTTCTACCCGCGATTATAAATATTTATAGCCCAGGGAATACGTCAATACGCAAGAAAGTGATCATCTAGATATCGTCATCTCATCATCCAAAGAAAACAAATAAATTTCCATGCAGCTGCCTGTTTCACTTGAAAATATTTCATTTTTTTCTGAAGCATCAAAATTATGCGCATTAATTTGTATATTTTAAAATATCAAGGGGCATATCATGTCTACGTTTATCTAACGGCATTTTGTATATTATATTGAACTCAAATAAACTATTTTTTTGTTTCAGTTATTCCAACAGAATGGTATTTGGAAACTGGACACATTTTCATTACTGATTGCAAACAAATTTTAAATATCATTAAAATATCTTAGAATACTTATTCAAACTATCATAAAATGGTTCAGTATATTCCACTGTATGAACGACTTTGAACTATATGGCCTCGAAGGACCAGATACTTATATAATTATTGTCCATGTTTTATTTCCGAGTTAACCGCAATATTTTTAGAATCCAAAATAAAGAAGCAAGCAGAAAAATTTCAACATTTCCCGACTGAAACATTTATAAACTGAATCAGTATATTCTGATTTGTTAAAAACTGAATTTTATCACCTCGAAGGACCAAATTTGAATTGCATTCATTAAGTTCCATTCGGTGAACAAATTTGAACTCTATTACCAAGAAATACCAAATATTTAATTGTTTTATATAATGATTTCATTTTTAATTCACATGGGGAACTAATACAACTATGTAAAATATTATAGTATTAGGTACGTACTTAGAGAAAAATTTCCCATTTTTCGACCCCGAAGGACCAATATAATTAACTACGTTCATTAGAATATGTAACCTAGGATTAACTATGAAAAGTAACTTTAATACATTAGTTCTGTTCCTTAAAAAATCTACTCATTTTACAAGATTTGCAACTTTTTATTTGAAAACCGTCCCTGAACCCATAAAACTGCTAAAATATTTAATTAAATTTAATTTGGCCGTGTAAAAATGGTAAACAGAAATGCCTACTTCTGATTGACTGTTATGTTGATTTTGAATTATTGCCATCTAATTTTGGCATATTTACTAGATTTGCGTTCCTGAACTTTTCAAATTATTTTGACTCTGAAAGCGATTTTAAAATGTTTCCATTTTACTAGATTTACTATTAAAAAAGTACTGAAACAGACCAATTATTTTCATATTTACCAATCCTATGGTAAAATCTCTTGAAATGTCTCCGTATGTTCCATTTGGTGAACAAATGTGAAATCTGTGGTGACGAAGAACAAAGTTTGAATTACATTCAAGTAATGACTCATTATGTTCCATTTTGTGAATCAATATGAAATCTCTAGCCTCGAAGAACCAAATATTAATCTCTATTTATATTGAATTATAGAAAAAGTTGTTTCGGAGGACCAAACATTTTATTTGTTTTATTTTTAGTCAAAATGGGTAAACTATTTATTATGAGTTTGTTTTAATAAGCTAAGCTTTCATCGCTTCTCCTCCAATGCCCAATCTGATCTTGGGCTGGCGTAAACCCTCCCGCAATTTTGGATTTCTTTTGCAATACCTCCATCCACCGATTACAACCGGATCGTCTTTAATTTCATCGTGTGCGCTTCTCATGAGATCTCCTATGTAAACATATGCGCTCTATATCTCCTGTATATTCACAATCGTATACAGACTATCGATCAACTCAATCCACATGTCGATATTTGCTAGTAGAGCCATTATGTCTTCGGTCGGTGGCGAGCCTACGGAAATAGACCCCATAATCTTACCTTTTCGTTCTGTAGCTTCTGCAGTCAAAAGTGAATCCCCCTCGGCTAAATGTCTCGCCGTAACCGTCTCCTTCCTTGTTGCGGCATCCTCCTGACACTGCATTCCCATTTTTAATTTTTTCTCTTTGGATTTTCCACAAAGCTGACCGAATTTCCTCGACCTTTAGGTCAAATTCTAGACAATCGGACACCTACCCGGCTCGAAGGATCAATTATAAACTAGGGATCTATATGTTGACACGGATATTTTTCGTGGAGTGTGTGCACGGCTACTTTCAATCTACACCCAGTTTAAACACTCTCTTGTACACATTAGTTTATAGGGTCAAATGTTTTCTGCGCTAGAGTTTTATTAATTTGGGTCTCAAAAGACCAATTATTAATTTATATTAATTGGACTAAAGCATACTAATTCATCTGCTCCATTTTTCTATGATTCTACTACGAAGTACCGCTAAAAAAATATGGAACATTGTTTAAATTGCTATTGCTATTTCGAGATTATTGTTATGTCTTGGGTGCTCGAAGGACCATGTTTAATTCACACAGATCCTTATGCTGCTCTATGTCTAGTATCTGTTACACTTTAGTGGATCGTTTAATGGTAGTACGTCATATATAAAATAAATTATTCCATGTCAAATTTGAATTTATAGCCAAAACTCAATGAAATAATTGCCAAACGTTATTGTAACTAAGCCATATGCTCATTTCTGTGAATATTTCAATTAACCGAATTCGTCATTGAAATTAAACAAATGTGATCGTCGTGGTATTTGCACGTCATAGCGGCATGTATGTGGACTTCATTGCCACTAACCATAATCCAACCGATTCTTACCCAAAATTATGTCCATCTGACTTGAGACAAAACGACAAATCTTCGGCAGTCACATCTTGGCAAGAAAAATGCAATGGAAGTATATATGGCAGACGATTTTACTCATTTTCTCCCAAAGTCAACTGTATTCCTTGGTTCCGAAGTGTTAAAATGCCCCGAAGTGTCGCAACAACAGCAATCAGACTACTATTTGGCCACAATCAGATGAAACATCATCTCCACAAAATTAACATAACCAGCTCCGACAGATGTAATTGTGGAGACATCTAAACTATGGACCACATCACCTTTAATTTCCCTGACACATCACCTTTAATTACCAGACATTCTTTATTGCAAAATCTACAAAAACTCGGAATTTATCAACATTCAATCGATATAATACTAAAATCTAATAATATTATTATGGCATACTTTGCCTTAGCAAAATACTACAAAGATGCAGCTATACGAATTTAAAAACAAAAACTAATCAAAACTATATTGAAATATAAGCCAATTCTACCCGTAAAACACAAAAATCCCATAAAATATATAAATACCCGTGAAGGAGGCAACATAGACTCAGTGTCTCATGCCACTTTAAATTCCACCCCAGACACGGTGGAATTGATATATGAAAACATATGTCAGAAGAAGAAGATGGTATTTGCACGTAATAGTACATTTACATTGTGCTGAAGAGGTTCTTTGATTTCCATTACCAAAACGATAATAGTGGAAATCTCTCTCTTCCTCTCCAATGTACGAAAAATACCGAAAATTATTGTACCTAGTTCCCATACTCATTTCAGTGAATCATTCAATTGAACTATAGCCGCTTGTGAACTGAAAAACACTACTTGAAATTTAATTTCTACCTAAACGAAGAGTGGACACTTCTCGCCACTGGCTCCAGAAGATAAATATCAACAATTACTCAAACAATTATTTACCTTTTTTTGTCAAATTTGCATACAGTTATCTCCCCAACCTATTTCTTTCCATGAAGAGATTCTCATTAAACGACGAAAACTCTGTACGCATGTTGCATGCAATTTTTAGGGTATTTCAACGTGTAAATGGTTCGTAGAAATGTTTGATTGATTTGTCGTTAATTGAGGGGGGATATTTAAATTACCAAGCAAAAAAGAAATTGAATTATTTATCTGATGGGGGAAGGAAATTAAAATAAATTTGTTAACACGAAAGAAAGAAATTGAAGCAAAGGATTTGTTAATAATATTTAATAGCTATTCTCTGTCGAGGTATCATTTGGTAGTGTAGGGATTCTTAATAGTCTCACATGGAAACCAATGGTAATTATTGGTCCTTCGACTTGTATTCTAAAAAAATATATGAGTTAGGCAATGGATGATTTTAATATTAAAGAATTGAATTTGCAGTTGGTCCTTCGAGAACAAAAATGTATTTTTTTTTTATATATTTTATATATTTTTATAGATTCTAACAACCGCGGATATATTTTAAAATATTTTGGAAGATTTCTAATAAATGTGAATTGTTTTAAATATTTATGAATTGAATGTTTTCTAAAGGCTTTTAAAAAGCCTGCGTCTTTAAGAATATTTTTAAAGGTCTTTCAAAAAGTCGGCATATTTTTAAAAATATTTTTAGATAACTTTCAGTAATGCGATGATTATTTTTAAATACTAATTTCTCCCTTTCTCTTCCCCTACAGAATCCCCCCACAAAAAAAAAACCAAACCCCGCATACCAAAATAGAAACTAAGAAACTATGGCAGCCTCTGTGGCACCACTGACCACAAGGACGCCAAAAACATCCGCCGAAACAGAAGCCTCGGAAATAATTCGCTGCAAAGGTAATAACCACAGTGAAACTCGCAGCAATAGCACCCAAAAGACCACTTACAATTCTCAAGAATTATGTCGCAGTTGTGGCAAAAACAGTGAAGATTTGTATGATCTCTATCAACAGCAGCAACAACAACAAAACACAATGGCATCTACAAATGAAACAAAGACTGATGATGACGTTATGCCATTTAGCACATCATCAACCACCTGTTATGCTGGCAAGACCAGCACCATTTCTCAGCCTAATACCACCGCCTCCTGCCTTGCATCATCCGCATCATCAACCACCGTAACAGCTATGTCCTCCTCCAGCGGCGTTAGTGGGACCACTACGACGACATTTGATAGTGTGGCAGCAACCGCAAAAGCCACGGCAAAGGGTCAAAGTAATATGGATAATATTTTACAGGAAATGCAAATTTGGCATTTACAGGTAAGTTTAGTATTATTTCTTCCTTTTTTATTGTTTTTTATAGTTATGGATTCCCGGATGAATTGTTGTGACCTTTTTATTGCCATGACGAGTCGTTCATTCCAATAAGGAAGGAGTTTTTCTTTATTGACTTTGTGTAGGTTAATATTAGATTACGGAGGAAATTTAGTTAGCCCTTTTTAGAGCGCGTTTAGACTACTAAATCCACTCCATAGCGTATACATCACTTTAATAATGTTCACAAAACCAGTGGATTATTTTTGACGTCTACGCTATGGAGTGGATTTTGTATATCTAAACGAACTTTTAATTTACAAAGGGTTTAATACGTGAAATTACTACTATTTTGGAACGTTTTTCTATGTGATGTGTGAACATCGTATTGTTGCAATTAAAATAAATTCAACCTCACTTTCAACATATATTTGTTCACATTTCGTGTTATCCTTATTTTATTCGACCCGAGTTCAACACAGTCAGTTCAACAATTTTTGGAATATAAATACAATTTACCATTCATCGCATGGAACGTTTTTCTGTTTTGGTTTCCACAATGAGCTGTAAAAAATTTTCTATCAGCTGTTAAAAATATATTAAGTATATTAGCGATGGGTGTTTTTGAAAATTAACCTGTATTTTAAACATAACCTTACTTTACACATTTGGAACGTTTTTCTAAGATATGGTATTTTTGGCAGCTGACAGTTTAAATGATTCAATTAAACAACTATCGATGTAAACATGGTCTAATTATATAGGTATGGATATTTATGACACAGGTCTCAATTTAAGTTGCACCTTTTTTAAAGTATTTTATAGACTTTTATAGGCCGCTTTATGGCACATGGAACGTTTTTCTGTTTTGGTTTGCACAATGAACTCTAAAAGAATCTCAATCAGCTGTTAAAAAATATTAAATATGTGAACTTAAACTGCAGGCACAATGGCATATAAATATATTAAATGACAATTGATGTTTTTAAAAACAAGTAATTTAGAATAAGGTTACTTTACACATTTGGAACGTTTTTCAATGATATGGTATTTTTTGGGAGCTGACAGTAAATTATTCAATAAACTTTTAGTGTAAACATGGCCTTATTATATAAATATGCATATTTATGACACACGTTAGAATTTAAGTTGCACCATTTTTAAGTATTTTATAGACTTGGGCCGCTTTATGCCACATGAAACGATTTTTACAAATTTGCAAGTTTTTCTATGATAGGGCAGTCTTGGGAGCTGACAGTTGAAATTATTCAATAAATAGCTAGTCCATGTAGAACAGCTGATGCCTCAATTAACAGTCAAGTGCATAAATTCTACTTAAATTCGATGTGCAATGTTGCAAACCATTTGAAATATTATATGAAAAAAATTGACAGATAGGCCGAGACAAAAACAAAGGTTTTTGTTTTGATACATCACCTTATTATTGCAACATACATGGCCATTCTGTATAAATATGTATATTTATTAGACACGTTTATATTTTAAGTGACACCACTTTTAAAGACAAAGTTTTTCATAAACATGGGCCGCTTCGTGGCCCAATAAATGGATAATGCATTTAGCACAGCTGACTATGCGATTAACTGCCAAAGTGCGTAGTTTCTACTTGAATTCGACATGCAATGTTGCCAACCATGAGAAATATTACTAGATAAAATTTGACAGATGTCGAATAAAAAACAGATGTTTTTGTTTTGAAACATCACCTTATTATTGCACCATGAGCCACTTCTTTTAAAGTCAGCTGTTCCAGTTACTACTATTTTGGAACGTTTTTATATATTCGGTTGTTCATTTTAATGTGATGTGGTGTGAACATAGTATTATTACAATTCAAATAAATTCAAACTCACTTTCAATTGCATCATGGGTCACTTCTTTTAAAGTCAACTATTTTGGAACGTTTTTGTATTCGGCTGTTCTTTTTAATGTGATGTGGTGTAAACAGAACATTATTTCAATTAAAATGAATTCAAACTCACTTTCAATTGAACCATGTGTCACTCCTTTTAAAGTCAGCTGTTCCAGTTACTACTATTTTGGAACGTTTTCTATTCGGTTGCCAATCTAAATGTGAAGTGTGAACATAGTGTTATTGCAATTCATATCAATTCAAACTCTATTTAATCATGGCTCACTTCTTTTAAAGTCAGCTGTTCCAGTTACTACTATTTTGGAACGTTTTTATATATTCGGTTGTTCATCTAAATGTGGCGTGTGAACATAGTGTTATTGCAATTCAAAAAAAATCAAACTCACTGCTAATTGAACCATGTGTCACTCCTTTTAAAGTCAGCTGTTCCAGTTACTACTATTTCATCATGGCTTACTTCTTTCAAAGCCAGCTGTTTCATTTACTGCTATTTTGGAACGTTTTTCTATTCGGTTGTCCATCTAAATGTGATGTGTGAACATAGTATAATTACAATTCAAATCAATTCAACCTCACTTTCAATTGCATTATGGGCCACTTCAGCTGTTCCAGTTACTGCGACTTTGGAACGTTTTTAATTCGATGGTTCATTTTAATGTGATGTGGTGTGAACATAGTATTATTGTAATTTAAATACGTTTAACCTCACTCTCAACTTACTTTTTTCACATTTCGTGTTATCCATTGCTTATCCTGCCCGCGGCTACATTTGAATTATATAAAATTAAATTGAAAATAAACTCGAAACTAAATATTCTGTTGTTGTTTTTTTTTGTTTATTTCTTTGCATAACTAATAGCCATTTTGTTTTATGTGTGTATGATGTTTAGGTAGTAGTTCGTTCGTAACTACTATGCCATGTTTATTATGTGTATACTTAACTCGGTTATTCCTGACACTTCATGAATAACTTCAATATATATGTGTGTGTGTGTTTTACTTCTTGACTCTGGGGAATGGCTTGAGTTGTGCCTTCCTTTTTTTGCCAAGGAACATTTAACAACAACTGTAAACATTACATTAGCATAAGGCACGTTTAAACCAAATGTGTAGTTAACAATGTTCGTGTAGTCATCATCGTCGTGTTCTTGCCGCTGTTGTTGTTGTTGGTTGTTTGTTGTAGTTGCATGTTAAATGTCTGCAATGTGTATTTTTCTACTAAATATGACTAAATGATATGCATAAAAATTTAATTGCACATTGAGGTGAGGTGAGGCGAAAGCGAAGGCGGTGGTGGCAGCAAAGCAATACTTTGCCACTTCACTTTGGGCATAATTATAATTGTTTGCCATACGACGAACATTCTCTCTCTCCTAGGTACGTTCTCACTTGGCGGCGTACAGCGTCGTCGTCGTCATACGTTCATTCATCATCGGCTGGACTCATTGTAATCATGGTTTACAGCAATTTGTTAGTTATACATTAATAATAACGTTCCCAAATGACGATGATGACGGGATGGACGGACATACGGACGACAAACAACGACGTCGCTAACGATGATGATGAATTAAAGCAAACATGTCAAAGTAAAACAAATATTTGCTAGTTCGTCGTCGTCTTTATCGTAGTTGTTGTTGTTGCTGCTGTTATTTTTCTTAAACATGCCATGGGAATTGATTGGTTCAAGTGGCACCACTTCACCTTGACGGACGGGCACATTGCAAAAAAAAAAAGAAAAAATAGTAAAATGCAAATAGCAAACACTTGAAATTGTAACAAAAAGGAGGCAAAGTTTTTTTTTTTAAATTTTAATTGAATGCAATTTTAATTGTTGTCGTTTGAATGGAAGCGAAATAATTTTTATTTACATAATGAAAATATAATTTTATTGCCTATTTGAGATTTTTTGACACACGTTGATGTTTAAGTTGTACAGTTTTTGGAGCATAAATACCGTTTTCCATTCATGGCATGGAACGTTTTTCAATTTTGGTTTACACAATGAGCTGTCAAAGAATCTCAATCAGATGTTACAAGATATTAAATATGCTAATAGTACGTTTATATTTAATCGAATTTCGTTAACCCAGTAGGTTTCAATTGTCAATTCCTTTGCATATATGTCAAAAACTTAGGTTAACCCGGTAAAAAGTTCTAATGTATATGCCGTTTAACGTAAACTGGAGACATAATGACATATAAGCGTGTTTTGTTTTATGAATATACGTGTTAATTTTAAATATATTAAATTAGTGGATGGGTGTTTTTAGAAAAAAACGTGTAATGTAAATATAACCTTACTTTGCAATTTTGGAACGTTTTTGTACGATAGGTTTTATTTCGGCGTTGGCAGTTAAAATTTATTCAATTAATTAAACAACTATTGATGTAAACATGGCCTTATTTGAAATTTACATATTTATAACACACGCTTAAATTTAAGTTGCACCAATTTTGAAAGTCCATTAGCGCAGCTGGCGATTCGATTGACTGTCAACGTGCGTAGTTTTTACTTGAATTCAATATTCAATGTTGTGAAATATGTGAAATATTAACCCAAAGCTTTTTTCGGAATATTTAATGTATTTCACATGTGTACCAACGAATAATAAATTTTCCGAAAAAACAAATTGAGTGTTAATTTACCTTTAGATAGGAAAGTATTATATTCCCATACATGTTAATAGTAAAAATAGTAAAATACTGTCGAAATTGATCAGAGTACAATATTCGAAAATTTCTGGAACGCAAAACTTGTAAACATGTCGAAATTAGATGGCAATTCTTCAAAATCAACACAGAGGCCGATCAGAAGTTGGAACTTCAGGCTACAAGTTCTACTCTGACAAAATAACAGTTGTTTTATTGTTAAAAGAGTTTCAGCGAATACCATCTGCTTGTTGTTGGAAATTTATTCCTTTTTTTTTGGTACGGCAATAAATTGATCATTTAAAATCCTTACAACAAATATTTGGTCTGCAAGAATGTACTAATTTTTACTAATTTGTTCAATAAAGGCAACATTTGGTCTGCTCCCGTACTGCAAGAATCTACTAGATTTTAATATTATCTTCGATAACATAAAGGAATATTTGTTCTCGTAGGAAAAAAGTAGTAGATTCTCGCAGTACGGGAACATACCAATTATAAGCATCTTGGAACACTTTTCC